CTCACTATGTACATCACAAACAATACTGCTGACTACCCAAGAACAATTATTTCTTCATAAATAAAAACAGGAATGTTCTAGGACTGGAGGGCAGTCTTCTGTCACAGCAGACCTGGGACACTGTTTATGAAATAAGACCACCAACTCCTGGTTTGTACGAGAAGCAGATGCTATCTTTAACACGACATATTGATTGCTAATTGCTGTGACTTAGAAAGTTTTAAAAAACCTGGTGACTTATATGGTCGACATGCATTGGGAGTGGTGTGAAAGGACACGCCTTCCACGGCACCTGTAGCAAACAGTGCAGTGGGCGGGGCCGGTGGTCTATTCAGTGAGGGCCTCCGCGCCATGGGGCTGCTTCCTCCAGGGCAAGATTTCAGAGCAGTGGGGCCTGGCTCCTTAAGTGCTGCTCAGCCTAGTCCACCCAGGGCACTAGGATTCAGAGCAAACAGCACAGGGAACAACTGCCTAAAGGAAACGGGAAGGAAAGTGATTCCCAGGTAACTTGGATGAGCAAATTACTAAAATTAGGCAATATATCTGACTCTATACTCCCCAGCAACTAAGGCTAAAAGAACACATTGGGTGAGTTGTGTTTCTTGAATGGAATAATAATCTAGCTATAAAAATAAAAATTCCCTTTTGAACTAAACAGTGATAATTTATGAAAGGGCTCTGTATAATAATAGGTGTGAATAAGGTGACTATTCAATTACAGCTTATGAAGATACAACAGAGGCTTCCTTCATAGGCGTCTCCTAACTGGGCTCTGTAGATGCCAAGGCACATGCAGAACTTCTGAAGCAAAAGCACTTCAGAAGTGAGCGGTCCTTTAAGACCAACTGATGCCGAATAAGACAAAAAGTGGCAACCTCCTGCTTGTTGGAGCCAAGTTCCAAGTAGAAACGGGTTATAAAGTCCTCATTAGACTTCTTCCAGGTCTCCTGCTCGCTGTCAAGGACTGGGGGTCCTAACAGCAGGCGCTCTGGGTGGGGCCTTAGAGTGGGTGCTTATCCATGCTTGTATTTGTGTGCAAATTTGTTTTTATGGCATTTCCTAAACAGATGATTGGCTGAACAGATTTTCAAACCAGTCTGTAATGCTAAAGCTCACTAGGAAAATGTCCACGTTGATAGGAGAGTGTCGATGAACTGTCAGTGTATTATATCTGTAGGGGGCTAAGAGAAACAGAAGCATGTGAATTCAAGCGTATTGGGTTTCTTGGTTTCTTCCTTCTACCTTTTTAATGGCTATCTTTGAAAGTCTATGACTATCTTTTAAAAACCTAGCCAAGAACCAGCCTAGAGAATACCAGCAGACGACGTCGTCGCATGGTCCTAACGCCGTTTCCAGTTGTGGGCATACTACTTAACGTCCAATCCCATCCTGAAGTACGTGAACAGAGACATGAAAACAAAATACAACCCTGGGAGATGAACAACCTTGCCCTGAACTGACTTTACTATATAGAGAAGGCAGTGCTTCTGCTTGGGTCAGACGCTGTACAGTTTACCCCATGGTGGAAAGAATGAGGCAGCCAGCCGGGGTACTTTGGTTTTGCATTTGAGGACTTCTCTGAGCTCGAGGCAGCTCTGTACCACAAAGTAAGCTTTGGAGCACACTGCTTTCCTCTGTTCCTGGGAGGTGGTCAGAAAGCTTTTCTGGCTTGATGTAGGCCCTTGCCCTTTTGCCATAATATGGTTGGTGCCTTGGGTTAGAGGCTGTAGTGAATTACACTTTAAGGTCTCTCTATATAAGACCCTTTCTCCTGCCAGTGGAGAGACGGTACTGTGAGTCTTTCCAAAAGTTAGGATGTGAGCCAACCTCCTGGGCCATGTTTGCCTGGACCCCTCCTCTGTACGTAGGCAGTAACATGCGTTAGTCAGAAAGCTGCGTGGAGTGGAGGGTCCAGGCTGTGGTCATAATTCACCTGCCTGGGAATCAAACCCAGGTGAAGCTGCTAAACATGGGCTTTAGATGGAGGCAGCCACCCAGAAACCTCGCTGTGCTACTTGGCTTTCTGCAAACAACGAGAAACCCACCTTGAGGTCATAGAGAAGCTGGAAGCTGCTGGGCACCTGGGCTGCTCTCTGGACGGCCTGGGCCAGGGCAAAGGCACCCTTGCCCCCTTCTGCCCAGTGAGTGCACGTCACAGCGTCCAAGGCCCCATGTTCTTTGGCAAGGCGGCTGACGAGATCTAGCTCGGCTTTTGTGTCCGTCCTGTAAAGGCAGTTCTTCGTGTTAAAGCATTGGTCATGACTAGAAGCGACAGAATCTGTCTTGTTTTTGCCATTAAAACCCACATAAATGACCTGCTGATAAACAGACACTAGTCAAGATTTAACAACACTCCTTGGGTTTGAATCCCAGCTCCACCAACCATTTACTAGCTAGGTGACTTTTGGACGGTTACTTATGTGACTTCATTTCCATTTGGGTAAAAAGGGGAACAATCTTAGCCCTTATTTTATTGGAATGTTATGAGGCTTAGATGGTAAATACATGCAAAGTACTTAGAACACTGCAGGCACACCATAGGAATCAACAAATACTCGGTTTAAAAAAATTTTTGCCTCTCATTCTGCTGTGGTTAGGCCATTATAACAGGACCAAACCAGCATCAGAAAGCCTAAACAACCCACACAAGCTCTCCATTGCAGGAACACTTCCAGCTCAATACGTTTGACTCTTTGTTAAGACAATAGCCCACCAGTGAAACAATAGAACTCTGTAGGGCTATGACCTTTTAACCTCAGGCCTCTGTGTTACCCACTTCACCTGGTGGACAATACGGGGGCCTCACGGGAGCAAAATCTGACCTGGGACCCTCAGTGGGTGAGGTGATGAGTTCACTGTGACAGATGTGGTGTCTGTCGTATTGCAGGCTCTCAATAATGGCTCCTAAAGCACACTTAATAACCAATAGCAGTAACTGAATCAAAATAAAGCTAAAACCTCCAGGAGATGTTTTCTGACCACTTTCCACAGTCCCCCTTGATTTTGACACTTTGTACTTACTTGAATGCATTCACGGCCACTACGACTGGAACGCCAAACATTCTGGCATTTTCAATCTGTTTCTTCAAGTTACTGAAGCCTTTTTCCACCAGTTCCAGGTTCTGTAAAAACAACAGTGAAAGTGTTGGTCTCTCTGTGAGGTCACAGAGAGCAGAGGTGAAAACAGTCGCTGGTTGTTCTTAAAAGGACCCTGTCTCCTTGAGCCAGCAGCCACTGACTGTCAGGATGAGCTGACAGGGAGCAGGTGCACTGATGCACTTCTCACACTGCGGCGACTGTGTGCTACGGAGCCTCTAACACCATGTCAGCCCTTATATAACACTGGAGTGGAGCTGTGCTTGTGTCCTGCCTGTCCTGAAAACATGAGAGCTGGGACATGTGCTGTCATTACACCATGTCTTAATAGCATACTTGCTGTTTGAAGGGACTCAGATACTCTTAAATAAATTATATTTATAAGCCCTGTGTTTATAGATTTAAACAACTAACTTTACTTGGCGTTGCGCAGACCCTTCCATCTGAAGACAGAGCCTAGCACAGTGCCTGGCATTCATTATCCAGCTGCCATAGTGCGGTCAGAAAACATGAAGTAATCAGTGATGCTTTCAAAAGTTTTAATGAACTTAACCATGAACCTTCACTGGGAACAACAGAAAACAAGATAAATGCAATCTTTAAAAACCAAATACCATGAAATTTAAGGGAAAGCAACTAAGAAAACGTACTTCAAAGTATGTTTACTGAAGCACTTCTTGCAACATTGGAAAATTGCAAATAACACAAACCTTCAATAGGAGATTGGGCCAGTGAAATATGACATATACACACTCAGTAAATAAGTATCACGGAGGTGGAATGAAAAGTGAGATAATCTGCATTACATGGAACCTGTCAAAAATGTACAAAGTTGCAAAACTTTGGCGAGCTTAATTAATTCCATTTTTGGACAAATACAAAAACACATGTGTAAGTTCATGAGTTTTTTTTAAATGTTGAGAAACATGCACCAAACTGTTAAGACTCAAATCATATTTATATTCTTACACTGTTTAATTTTTAAACAAAGTGTATGTTATTATAAGCTTAAAAATACATTAAATGTTTTACCAATAAAAATATAATACTTTTACATAAAAATATATCACTGGATCATGAGCAAAACCCAGCTGCGAAAGCTCTTGGTTTGTGGATTCCACGAAACAGCAGAAAAAGGGGTACGTTAACGGCAGAAAATCTGAGCTTACAGACATGATTTATGCTTTTTTCCTTTAATAACTGAAAATTGAGTTTAGGATTTAGTTGATATTCTAAGGAGCACTGCTAATTCTTTACCTCTAGTCACATGACAACCAACTAATTTGTAAGACAGATTGAGAACAGTTTTATGTAAGTAGAATTTCTTAAATGAAGACACCAGCTGGGCCAGTTAGGGGCAGTCATGCTAATTAGACACAGGAAAGGCTGTGGGGTGGCAGGAGGGCCAGAACTGTGAATTCCCCTCCTACGCGTGAATCAGACAAATGACCATAAAAGGCAAATCATAACTCAGAAGACTGGCAGACTCAAGGCACCCACAATTCTTTTCTAACGGCTTTTTAAACACTTCATTTGGGGCCTGAACAGTGACCCTATACTGCATGACAATTTATAAGCTTCACTAAAGTCAGAAAATTTGAATTAGTGACAGCAGCTGACCTTACCATCTCACAGGAGGGCCTATCTCTCATATGACCATCCCAAACTGGCTCAAGATGTTTCTTTGATGGTACATAATATAATTATGAAAAGGTTCAAGCTTCTAATTCTTTCAGCTCTTTGCCTGATGCTATAAACCAACTCAGCGCATAGAAACTTGGCCTAGAAAAATAACCAGGGTGCTGACTATATCTTGGCCCTTTAATGTGGATTTAAATCTGCAGAGGAAAAGACATTTCAAAAAAGGTCCCTATACTTGCTTCTGACTTGAATGGCATTTGGGAATCAACCAGTCAATAAAGGGAAGGCAAAGGAACTTCCATTGGTCTAGTGCAGGGTTTCTCAACCTCAGAACTACTGACATTTTGGGCCAAGTAACTCCTTGTAGTTGGGGGTGCCCTGTGCACTGTAGGATGTTTAGAAGCATCCCTGGCCCCTTCCCACTAGGTGCCAGTAGCACTCCCCACGAGTTATAACAATCAAAAATGTCTCTAGACATTGTCAAATGGTCCTTGGGGGCAAAATCGCTCACGGTTGAGAAACAACCACTAATTTAGGGCAGTGGTTTTACTGATATCCTATGTGGGGCAATTCTGTTTTATGAGGCACGTCTTCCCTATTTAATTCAATTCTTCAGCACACTACAGACATTTTAGCATCCCCTGCTCCCAGAAGCAACTGGGTCAGAGTGATACCCCCACTTGTTTCCAAATGAGCCGGCTGAGAAACTCTGATTCAAAGTGTGGTGCTTTCTAGGTCAAGTAACTAGAAATGATTACGTTACCTCCTCTATGTAAGCCTTGGGGAGAGGCAGTCCAGCAGTCACCTGGAAGGAAAGGAAGCAATGTCAGAGCCATCTTCTATTTACAATTAGACATTAGCTTAAAACGGTGCTTGCCACGTGCTGAAGGCCAGAAGCTGCATGCTTGGGGGGTATGCCGCAGTATAAGGCTATTTCCTGCCCCAAGGATTTAGGGCATACGACCAGTCCTAGAGCACAGAACAAAAATGACAGCTCTGAGCAGAGTGGGGGCCTTAGTGGCCTGAACTAAGGAGTGAGAAAGGATGGATCTAGGATGGTGGGGGGAAGGGATATGTTCTAAGCAGGGGCAATGACCTCAGTGAGTGATGTACACAGCAGTGGGGGTGGAAGTGAAGGTGAGCATAGGGAAAAAGGAAGCTGTCAGCCCTACCGATGAAGTCTGTCACAAGCCCTGTGACGAGATCACGAGCTGGTCTGGAGCCAACACATGCCTTTGTAGAGCTGAACTGGGGTGTATGAGCAGTACACACAGGAGGGAAACGACACATACGGATTCTCTTCCCCTGTCGCAGCATATTTAAAGGCGTCAAGGCACTTAAGCAGTAGGTTCACTGTAACAGAGGTCCCTGGTGGCTTGGCCCTGCTACATCCACATGGATGAGCACGGGGTGATGGTGCCGTCCAAGGACCCCGCTGTGGGCAATGGACAGTGATTTAGGAGAAACAAATTGACAGTGACCATGAGATCAGGTGGAGAGGAGGTGCAATGGTGTGAGTGAGGGGGGTGGGGATGCAAGAGAGAGAAACGTTGGTTATGATCAGGAAGAAAAAGGGGGACCATCCTGCACTGCTAGCAGAAAGGGGTGTGCCGGGTTAGGGGTGCTTTTGGTACCTTGGGGACCAGTAAGAATGCAGATGTGTGCTGGGTTGTGTATGGCGGCGGTTCTCACAGTGAGGCCCAGGGACCTAACCCTTTCATGGGGTCCACAAGGTCAAGATGATTTCCGTAATAATTCTAAGATATTATGGCTCTCTGCACTCTCATTCTCTTTGAGTATACAAAGGACTTTTCCAAAGATTATGCAGCATGGGATATCACAACAGATCAAATGCAGAAGATGAGAATCTAGAGGTCTTCAATTAATACTGAAGGGATCTGAAAAATGTACAATGCCTAAAATTTGTTCTGGACAATATAGTAACTTTTCATTAAAAAAAAATGTTATGTTCATACATAACTCAGTTTTAGTTCCTAATATAGTTAAATATCAATATATATAACTCACTTGAATAAGACTTCTTTCAGGCTCTCAATAATTTTTAAGAGTGTAAAGAAGTTTTGAGACCAAAATGCTTGAGAACTGATATATTAGGGAAAACCCTGATCAATGCATTAAGAAACATTCATTTCTATTCCGTAGGTGAGGGAGGTCTTAAGTTACAAGACCAGGTCATGGAGCATAGGAATTTAATACTTCTTTAACCCTCTGTCGGGCGCAACTGATCTCACAGATTCATTGCACACAAATTTTCAAATATCTAAGTATCATGACTCATCACTTCCATATCTCCTCCCTCTACCGTAACCTATCACCACCAGTCGTGTTTGTGACTTAGTAAAGTCGTATTTCATAGCGGCATCTTTGTGTGCAATGAATCTGTGAGATCAGTTGCGCCCGACGGAGGGTTAAGTAATTTCTGAAAACTAGCACCATGTTTTCACATGCAGGCGCTGAAGAAACGGTGTTAAAATAATAGGATAAAAAGTGAAATTTCCAACCCGTAGGGATTCAGGAAAACGCAAAGTTCGGGTTGGAGTTGAACATAAACCAGTTCTAACCTCTGTTTCTCTGTTACCCAGAGGCAGTCCTGAGCGTGCCCACCATTCTCCCCCGCCCCCCGCATTCCAGGCTGTCGGTGGTCCCATCCAGCACGCACTGCTCAAGAAGGGGCTGACCTCTGACTCGGTTAAATGGTTTGGTTGGCTGGCTGCCAGTGTCACTATTTCGCAGGGAAACGGGACCGAGATTTCAAAAGAACGCTCTGAAAATAAAGGAGTTTTTTTGTGGGTAGAGCAAGCACATGTCCTTGGAGGGTTTCGATGTTATCAGAGGTTTTCCTCGGAAAGGTAGACCATGAAGCTAATTTCAGCCCTCTTAGAATGCTGAGAGCTGGTAGTGTCTCCGAGTGATAAGGCAGCCAGCGTAGAGCTGTCTGAGCATCCTTTGCTTTTGGCACCCTATTAATCATGAGGACAAGAGCAGCTTCACGATGAAACAGGCCCAATTCATCCAGCCCCCCTTTAGCCTTCAGAACATCCCTGACAATCTGCCTCTTCTCACTACTGATCCTCACCGTGGGGCCGCCACCGTGCATCTTCAGAGCCCTGACCGTGGCCACAAGCACCACCACGTGAGGGCGGAGGCCAGAATACCGGCATTTGATGTTAAAAAACTTCTCCATTCCAATGTCTGCTCCAAATCCTGCTTCAGTCACTGGAAGTAAGGACAAAAGCAACCGTAAGAACGCCATCCCAACATCCTTGATGCTAAAACAAAACCAAACCACACCATCTATTTATTGATTTTGCAAAAATACTCACCTACAAACCCTTCGGGCCCAACAAGCTTGAGTGCAATCCGGTCTGCAATGATAGAGGAGTTCCCATGTGCAATGTTGGCAAACGGTCCAGCGTGAACAAATACTGGAGTGCCCTGTGGAAATCAAGACGGCCTGAGCGAAGCTGCTAAACTGCTTGAAAACAGAATCACATGGTCAAAAGGGTGAAAGTCAGGGGGAATCCAAAAGAAAAAGTCTTCCCAAAGGTTAAGTACAAAGCTGCCTCTTCTATGTCAGTAACACCCTAATCACAACTGTGAGAAAGAGTGTGAAGCAAGAGATGAGCAAGCAGAGAGGGTCTGAGACTCAAGAACAGTGTGAACACAGAAAACCAATTCAGGAAGGCAGGACTCATCTGCTCACCTCTAACGTCTGCATGAGGTTGGGCTTGATTGCATCCTTCATGAGCACTGTCAACGCACCACTCACTCCCTACAAAACAAAGGCAGGAGGCGTCGGTTCCTACTGGCAAACCAATGTTTTGAAACCAAAATTCAACATTCTTAGATCTTCCTTTTTTAGCCATCTTGGACCAATTAGTCCTTTCATGTGAACTAGACCATCCATTTATTTATTTTTCTGGATCTACTGTGAAGTTACTAGTTATTTTAAGCAGGCAGAAGAGACAGAATGAAAATGACATTCGCGTGTAATTTTTGGAAAAACATGTAACTCTGGAAACATGCATCTTAAGTGGGCTCTGTTGCTGATGGACGAGGGGAATCCATTTTAAACTGGCTTATAGCATGGAAATGCTAGTTCTTAGAGTACTGAATTATTTGCAACTTTGGTGTCTGGGTAGAAATGGCTATAAACAAAATTCAGTGAGTTTCCCAAAGCTGAAACTGGAAGTATTCCCAGGAGTTCAATACCAACTCTTAAATATCAGGTCCCTCTTCTAAGCCATCTCCCATAGCTGAACAAACTGGTAACAAAGCGAGATAAAACTATGGATCCCACTTATATTCAATTTTAATGAGTTTCTAAGTTTCTGCTTTGGGTGTAAAATTTTAAAACAATTTCCTTTCTTACACACAAATTAACTGTGAAAACAGGGTATTAATATTTCCCCCTTTTCTGAATTCATCTAACATACTGCTTAATCATAGGCAAATCATTTTGGTGTGTATCAACGCAAACAGGCTTTTAAAAACTTAATAATCATATTATCATGCAGACAGTTCAGAAATAATCCTGAAGTGGAGAACGAGCCTAGTAGGACCATTAGATAACTGGCTAATGAGTTCTTCCCAATGTGGTTATCAGCGTGGATATGGTGGTCAACAAACTTCATGACAAGAGGCCTCTGTGTAAGAAGGCCTCCTGGGGAGAGGCCAGGGTGAGGCTCCAAGCCCAGGTATCAAGGGCCTCACTTGGACTCTTGATGTCTTCTGCAAACTGAAGTCATATACCCACTTTTGGAAATGCTCACAGAGTGAAGATGTGGCTCAAACCATCTGAGACCTGTGGTCTATTACTGGAGCATGCTACCTATTACTCACTATGAAATACTTTTTATACATTTCACAATTATCTGTAAGCAGGAAAGTCTTACTGAATTTATTAGTTAACTGCAGCATAACGTTTGTTATCAGTAACTGCTAAGAGAAGCTACGACAAAGGATGGGTGTATCACCAAGCCTGGGGTGGCTGGGTACCCACCAGGTCTTCGGCACTGATGGGCTCCCCTTTCTTGCTGGATGCCACCACCATTTTGCTCAGTCTCTCTCTCATGTCTTGTAGGGAACTGGTGAGAGCCAGGACCGCCATGATTTCACTGGCCACAGAGATATCAAACTGGGCCTATTGGAAGGAAAAAGACACAATAAGGAAAACTTCGTTAAACCGGAAGTGTGAATTACAAGAGCAATCCTCATTTGCTTCGCAGTTTAAACCAATAGCTTAAATGGATAGAACAGAATAATAGTACACAAAGAACGTAAAGAAAATAACCCTCCAATCGCAAAAACTTATAATTAACTCTTCCAAGATCTCGAGGAGTCAATTTTTAAAAAATAAATGTTCTAGTATTTATTTTTATAAATTATTTATATAAATCCCTGTGAAGGCAGGTTGTAATCCTGAGATTGTGGTTTCCCTAACACACACTGGGAACAACACAGAACCTCTTACGCCGAGGAAACATACTGTAAAACAGCCACAAAAGAGAAGCAATTTTAATTAATTTGTGTGCAAGGATATTCATTTGGGGCTCTCCACCTCCAGGAAAAAATGCTGGGGGAAAAACACATAGGTGACACATGGGATTTACTGCAAAAGCTGTCAGGAGTGCTCAATACCACACCTACTCACTTCCATTTTAAAAGGGAGAAGGCAGAACAACACCTGGCAGTATCAATCGGATGGGAGAGGACGGAGGAGGACGGAAAGAGCAAGGATCTGGTTTATCTGAACTAATTTACTTAGAAAGGAACAAACAGTTACCGTCCGTGTGTACCCTTTCTCCGTTGGAGCCTGTCCAATTGTGATCTTCCTCAGGAATCTATCATTGGTATCCAACACTACAGAAAGGGAAGATGCAGAGCAATGTTTAGGAAAAGGACCATCAAGTTAAAGGAAGCAGCCAAACTGTAAAGCAGCAAGTCTAACTTAATGTCTATTAATATTTGATTTCAAAACTGATGGCAAAGCTAGCATACGGGTTCAGGTTAATAAATGATGTCCATATATTATAAATGTGCAGGAATTATATTTACAAAAAGGAATGTGGAGTGACTTGGTTTTATTCTGCCTAGAGAATTCAAACAATTAACTATTGGGTTGTCGGGAAAGTCATGACGTATTTTTCTTGTTTTTCGTTGCAAAAATGCGCCATGACTTTTCCGACAACCCAATAGATATCTGGGATCTATTTTAAAGCACATTCGATATTACAAGAAAAACAGAGCAGGCCACAGTTTTTCAAAAGGCGGAGGTTTGTGTTGTTGTTCTGTGGGGTGACTCACTGACCTTACAGCATCCTGAGAAACACAAGGGCCATAAAAGCAGGGCCAGGCAAATGCCTTTTGAAGCATGCTGGGTAACGGACCTGCTCTTTCCCCTCCAGCACGCTTAGAAGGAATATGTAATTTCCATTCGGATGACCGAATATCCATCCAATTGTATATCCTTGGAAAACATGGCAAAGGTCAACCAACTAATCTTAATTCTACCTCTCAGGACTAATTAATGTTAACATTTTAGTATATTCCCAATTTTGGTTTTTGAATGATGAGCCAAACAACTACAACAAAATACAACAAGAACAAAAACACACTAATTACATTCCAATGGGTCAAAGAACAGAGGAATTTTTAAGGCACTTGACAACATGCCAAATTATTCTCCATAAAGAATGTAATAATTTAAACAGCAAAAGCAATGTATGGCACAGCATTCGGAAGGAGACACACACCCCCACTTGATAAGTGAAGGATGTAAAGTATTGTAGGAGACTACCCTTATTTTTCAAAAAATAGTGTCAAGTTCCTTGTATCTAGCTTCTCTGTATAACCACTCAATAGGTGTGGTCCCTTTTTTTCCTTGTCGGCTTCTACTTTCTTAGAAAGCATGAATTAGACATAAAGCAAAGGAAAAGTGAATGAGACACTAAATTTTCAAAATAGATCTTTAGCTTATTCCTCATAAAATATTATACCATCTGTGTAAAGCTATTGAAGCAAAGGAAAAGAAATGTCAGTGTGGTTTTATATATCAAGAGAGTCATCTTAAAAATGCCATTAGCTAGCAACAGTTACTGAGCCAACAAAAGGCACAAATATGGTCCATCAATTGGCCATTAGCTGCATTCTGCATGGCTGGATGAAAATTCCTTCTCAGCAGTGATATAGGATAGATGGGTGGATGCACTGTTGGTACAAAATAAAACTCTAAGCCGGGCTATTTGTACACAGAGAAAAGCAACATACGGTAGTGAAGCTAGGCAACTCATCCACTAAACTGCCATGTGTTTAAACCTTTAAAGCTACCTACTTTGTTACAAGTGAGTTTAATAAAGTGAGGTAAAAGTGAGGAGGCAAGCTAGAGAACTACACGAAAAATCAAGTCACTTATGCCAGATAAGAGTTCTGAGAATAAAGGGCAACATGAATCAAGAAGTAATTAAAGATAATTTTTCTACTTCATGACACTGAAAAACTTTTTGCATAAAATGAAACTTGCAAAATGTTGTTTGGTTTATGCATGAACTTCCGTGAAACCACCCTCACTCCAATCAACACTGAATAGCCAGCAAATGTCCAAGTAACCCAACAAAAGGAGGTCTGATCACAGTTAATAAGGAGAGAGATTGTTGAAGGTATCCAGAAAAATGAATGTCACCATCTTGGTCATGTCTTACCAACACACAAGCTTCTAGATCTCACATTTTAATACCAACACACAAGCTTCTAGACCTCACATTTTAATAACCCCCATGGAGGGTGTGGGGTGTGCAGTATCACCAAAGCAAAGGGGCGTGTATATGGCTCTGGTACCTCTTTGCCAAGTTATGGTTTCCGGATCAATATCTAATCTTGCAAATCTGTTTATCTCTTCATCTGTCAGTGTGGTAGGATCAGTCTTTTCAATGCCTAGTCTCTAAAGAAGTAGGAAAATTACAACATAAGGTAAAATCAACAAAAGCATAATAAACATTAAGAAATTTTTGATTCCCTAGCTCCAGATAGGGTCCCCTCTAAGAAATACAAACCATGTTAAATTCAGAAGGGAAAAACCTCCTTACCAATCATCACCCAATTTCATACAATATCAAAATGAAGAAAGGAAAAGCTTACCTTTAACCTTCGGATTTGGATATCAGAGAACTTTCTCACTCCATTTATTGATGGTACCAAACGATTAAAGAGAGCCTTAAAGAAAAGGAGGAAAAGGTCTTTTAAATGACATGAACCCCGCTGCCTTGCTACCTGCATCATCAGCACCCAAGGGACCAACATTAATTCAGGTGCTTCAACCCCTTCGAAAGGGCCCATGGGGCCTCAGCACCATACCTTGTCAGTCTGGGTCAGTTCGTGGAACATCCGGGCATCAATGGCTGCGGCAACAAGGTTATTGGCTGCAGTGATGGCGTGGATGTCACCGGTGAGATGGAGATTAAACTACAAAAGAGCAGAAGCCACATCAGTCTTCCAGCTTCTCTGCGTCTTTCCAACATTCATTCTGTTGCAGCCAAATCAATGCCTATGTTAAAGCCATGGAAAACTCACGGCGGCACAGCTAGTGGACAAACACCCAGTATAGGTAGATCTTTACAATATAAATTACTGCCTATCTTAGAGAAAATTGTGGTTTTTCCCTAAGTGACATGTCCGGTAACCATAAACCCCAAACCACTGGGATCGACAGCAACACTGGATTACTGAGGACACACTCATGTCCTTTAAACATCAAACAAGGAGTACAATGGAGCAACCGAACTATACACCTATACATTGTTCCTATTTCTCTAGTTATTATTCTGAATTTACTCCATGTTGGTTCTTCCTAATCGCATGCTTCACTTGATCTCTTGCGTAAAATTATTCCCACTGAAAGCCAAACTTTGACGTCCTTGTCATATCAAAAAACTAAGCTGTCTCACAAGTTTGCACATTAAGATGTTTTCCCCTTAAGTGTCACTTCTGCTGAGAAACAAGTCCTTTGTCCACTAAGACCTCTACAATAAAGCTTAATCTCTGGAAGGGAAAACTATCATAAAATTTGGTCTGATTCAACCAAATCCCAGAGCACGTTACCTCTTCCATAGGAATGACCTGGGAGTAGCCACCGCCTGCAGCACCACCTAGAGGACAGGTCAAGAGTGAGACGCATGTTAAGTGCGCTTCTCCGCGAAGACATTGCGAAGTCAAGTAAAAGCAAATCAGTTTTTATAACTGCTATGCATATTACTTATTTACTTTTTACAACCATTTGGGCAGATTTGATCAAATGTTTTCTCATTTTCTTTTACCAAGCTAAAACACGTGATCTTGCTCATACTGAACAGCCTCTCAATTAAAATCTGGGTCTAACTTGACAAAACCATGAATACACTACTCATTATCTTTAGAAACAGGTTTTCCATGATTCCTAACATCTGTGAAAAGACCCAGCCTAGTTATATGAAGGCAAACCTGTTCAATTTCATACTCTCATAAATGCTACTTTGGCATTTTACAAAAAGAATATTTAAAATACACCAAATACAGAGAGACGGCAATTCTTCCTAAATAGGAAACATGTTAGAAAACAGCTTAACTACTAGATTTTTACTGACACATTTGGATTTTTAACCAAAGGCCAGTCAAACATATCCAGGTATTCAGATTATCAGTGAAATAAATGGCAATTTAAAGTACAGATTTGTGGGGGGTTTTTTGTTTTGGTTTTGGGGTTTTTTATGAGGCACAGGCCACACAATGAAAATGGGGCAATTCATGATATAAGGAAAAGGAGAACATTGGGTTCAATAAGCAGAACAAGGAAAAAGGCTCATTCTGACATTGAAATGGGGTTGTCCAGACAAGCTCAAAAGCAGAACTAAGTCAGCAGATTTATGCAATATATCAAAACAATAGGCAGAAGAGGCACAAAGGTGCACCCTGAGTTAATGTTTGTAGTAATCACAAGCAGAATATGTGATACCCTATTACCAAGCAAATGAGAAAGCTAACTCTTGGAACCTATTAAAATTAATTAAAGTAGTTTAAATGAAAAGAACAGGTTTACAGTACTGCAGCTATCAAAAACTGAAGGTGAATTGTGATTACTAACATGTTTTCATGCTAGCAGAATACTGTGTTGATTGTCTTAGAGCTTAAAGCGGACATGGGGGCCCACTCTGGTATGTAATTACAGTGACTTTGACCCAGTTGCCTCTGAGGTCCCAGTTGCTGCTATTGCAAAATGGAGATAATACTGTCTTATATTAGAAAATAAAATAATATGCATAAACTGCTTAGCACAAAACCTGGCATCAAACACATATGCAGTAAGGGTAGGCTTTTCTTATTCCCATAGGGTAAAACATCTGTAGGGTTTGTCTATATTTCTAGCAAGTCAACATGGTGATTGGTGGCTATGATACCTTTATTGTTACTGTGACAGTTAACTATGAGTCACATAAAAGCACCTCTGCCTACGTATTACCCATCCCAGGAATCTCTGTGCAGTGTCAAATAGTGACAGTAGGAGCTGGGGTGAGCCGATGAACGCCTTCACCAAAAGCACAATAGGGGGTGTGTGAGGAAAAGACACCCCTAGTGTCTAAATAAGCTGAACATGCCATAAGCATTCACAGGTCAAGTGGGCCAGGGAGTACTGAGGAGAGGCAGGTGCCCTCTGGCCACCCAAGGTCTAGTCCTACTGATACCTTTTATTCCAAAGGTGGGGCCCTGCGAAGGCTGTCGTACACACGCAAAGACATTTTGATGAAGGTGGGCGCCAAGGGCTTGCACCAGCCCAATGGTGGTTGTGCTTTTCCCTTCTCCCAGGGGCGTTGGAGTTATTCTTCAAGATGAAAACAAAAGAGGAAAATTAAATTTATGGAATTAAATTGATTTGAATCGCTAAGTCAGACCTAACAGATCCTAGAGAAAGACTCTTAATCCAAATAGTAAGACAAAAGACCAGAAAAGGAACTTTCCCAAGTATCTTCGTTGTAACTTCCACCAAGTCTTAAATTAAAAAATACTGCTGGGCTTTACCTCTTCTCACTGTAAGGAGCAAATATACCTTACCTTGTAGAAAGATACTGCTACGATTTAAATTTCTCAATTTAGTCTCAAAACCTAACTTTTATAGGTAACTTAGCTGAGCAATAAAAATGAATGCACAATAGATGTAGTGAATTAATGAATTAGGGGTTGAAAAAAGGCAATTCCATCTGGAGACTAGGTGTAAGACCCAACTCTTCCACCTACTAGATGAATAACTTGAGAAATTTTCTCATCTCTGAAAGGTTATAATCTACTCTTACCTCACACGGTGGCTATAAAGATCAAATTAGATAAAAAAAACCTGTGAAAATACTAAAACCAAATTAAAGGAACCACCACTATATATACTAGGTGCAAATGCAACCCCTGGTAATAATAATCAGGATTAATATTAAGATTTGATTGGCAAATGAATAAAAACCATACCCAGTCACCACTACGTATTTCCCATCAGGCTGATGCTTCAGGCGTTCCAGCACAGACAGCAGAACTTTGGCCTTTGTTTCACCATATAATTCTACCTCCTCAGAGAACAGACCAATTTCTCGAGCCAGGTTACCAATGGGCTTTGGTTTGCAGGATCGTGATATGTCAATGTCACTTAAAAATATTGAAAAGATGTATCAGTCGTTATTCACTTAATTAATCAATCCCATCCTAATAATGATTTGATAGGGTATCCATGCAGCCATGGCTATAAAACGACAATACACAAAGTTTTTAAGCCAGTAAAATTTTAGTTTTACCTTGGAACAGGTGTCTTGAGAGTAAGGTTGTTATACTGAATCAGCCACTTTCCTGGCTTAGATTTCTCCAGGAAACGCTTTGCACTCTCTACTGTGCTCTGAACAAAATGACATAAATGAAACTTAGAGACGTGATTATTTTAACCTCCACCTCAATTCTTAATCCCGGCTCAATCAAGTTCAATCACAAAATAAACAGCTTTATGATCCACCTAGTAACAAGCTTCTATTCTAGAAAAGAGTCTACAGGCACCCAAATGCCCTGGGCTGCTTGCCTCTCTCTCCCCGTATCAGCCCGTGTGTCTTAAAAATGGCAAGGAAGCCAAGATGAACCTGGCAAAGTCAGTGTTTACGCTTTTCTTTTCCTCAAGGTGTCACGTTCCAAAGTAAATTAGAATTGTACCTTCCCTAGTTTCCTCCACTAAGACAACTCATTCTAGTTCTCTGTTCTTCCATTCCCTGTTTTTCTTCAATAGAGTTACATTTTATTTAGCTTTTTTAAAAGTTTATTTAGCTTTTGATCAGGTTTTCTGACGTTTCTACATGGGAAGAAAAGCAGGAACTTGAATTCTATCAGTTTCTAAGACCGATTACAGAAACTCTTATTCGCATGCACCTGCATTAGCATCGCCACCGTCATGGGCCCGACGCCACCAGGAACAGGAGTGATGAAGCTTGCCCTCTCTTTGGCCTCACTGTAGGCCACATCGCCCACCACTTTTCTCCCATTTGGTTTTGTACCGTCTGGTCAAGAGGGGAAAAAAAAAATCAAAGTCTCAGAATCATGATCCTGGTGTTTATTTCTAAATTAAGTGATCAACTACAACCACTTGTTCCAAAAACTAAGTAGAGTTTAGGGTGTGTAATCCCCTCGGGCTCAAGCGCCTACTTTAGTTAAAAGCTATGGGATGGTAGGTATTGGCTATTTCCTAGAAAGAAACTTATTTTACCTGTAAAAATTCACAAGGTGCTTAACTGGTTTTTCAGAACCAGAAGAAACCTTTTGTAGTCTGTCAGGTGGCAAATAAAATACCAACTGTTTTTTATTCTTAATGCCACGTACCCACTATATAATGAGCACCTTTTAAAATGTTAATTTACCAGAGCTTACAAAGGAATTTTTTGGGTGCACAAAGCTCCAACTATGTCACAGCTGCCAGATACCGTTTCTACAGCAACTGTCAGCATTTTGTAGGCTCCATGCGTGAGATGGAGGAACAATTCAACATCCAGTTCCGAAGATGAGCAGCTACTTAAATGTATGCAAAAGGCAAGGAATATAATTACACTTCCCTTAAAAGGATACAAGAATAACTACAAATCTTACCAGCAAAGAATAGCTATTCAAGAGAACAAAACCCAATGATGCATCACTGCTCACTCGACATCCTACACTTGGCTTCAGCGCATTTCCGGGAGGGGCAGAGGGACAGGGCTGGACCCTGCAGCTCTAAGGCTACTGAGAGGCAGGACCTGGTGGGATCTTAGCCATTTCACCATTTCTGATCGGATCGCCAAAACTGAGAGAGGTAGCTTCAGGGTACAGCAGTTTTCAAGTAACACAGTTTTTATTCAACACCATTTTGTTAGAAAGTTGATGAGAGAAAAAAAAAATCGATTTCAGGGTGGGGTCACTGTCTGTGTGAAGCTTGCACGTTCTCCCCATGTCTGTGTGGGTTTTCTCTGGGTTCTCTGGTTTCTTCCCACATCCCAAAGGTGTGCACATCAGATTAACTGGTGTGTCTAAATTGTCCCCATCTGAGGGTGTGTGCATGCGCGTGCCCCTTCTCATAGAAGGGCCTCCTGTCCAGGGCTGGTTCCCGCCTAGGGCACTGAGGTGCCAGGACAGGCTCTGGCCACCCAAGACCCTGGGAGATGTGGGTTGGAAAATAATTATCTTACATGTTTTTGTTCATCTTTCTTAAATGTATAACTCACATTTATTTCAATGTTTCATATTAGAAGTGTTTCAGTCTTTATTTTAGAAGTTTGATGATGTTTTTTTGTGACCAGAAATACACTGCAGGAACATAACTCTTATTTATATCAATTAGCCTATGGTATAACTGGTTTCATTATATGTTGTTTTGGTTAAAACTGCAATTTTCAAGAACCTACTTTATTGTAATTTCCAAGAACTGCCATTAAGTGAGGACTTACTGTATAGCCAGGAAGTCAGAATTAAGAGACCTAGGCTCTAGGACCAGCTCTTCCATTAAGTGCCCAAACTCAGCTCCTATGGGCTCCTTACTGATCTGGAGTCCAAAAATGCAAAAAAGGATTAATACTACTTATTTCACAAGCTTGCTGAGAATCAAGCGAGAAAATGCGCATATTCCTGAAATTGAAAAAGCATTCTCCAAACGTAAGGGTTTCTTTTCCCAGCCTAGGTACATACGATATTTTCTATAAGTGTGTGCTATACGGAGCTAGTGAACAAAAGCTCCCCAGCTAGTTTCAGGTTTCTAGAAGACAATAAAGCAGCAAGGTCTGGAAGAACACTGCCTCTCAGATCCACTAACGTCATTTCAAAATGCCAAGGAAACACTGTTAAGGGTTTGTCCTTTGTACGGGTTTTAATAGTCTAAGACTGCAGTTACCTTAAAATACCTCTGCATCTCTTTCTGTTTATTAATGTTAGTCACTTTCTCCATATGTATATAGGAGACAAATCAACTGCTATACAACTAAATGCTGCATTGGATGAGCTCAGTTTTGCTGCTTAACGCAACATTATCAGGGTTGACTCGAGTGTCCTCATGTATATCCAGTACGTCATGGAAAGGATGATGTGGTCTGGAAAAAGTTGACCACTTCTCAAATCTTACAAGTGTACGGCTGCAGTCACCAACAAACATCCTGGTCAAATACTCCAGGCCTAGAATTTCTCTTTCATTGGGACTTTGATGTACAAAATTCAAGTGACGATCCAGCTGAGGCTGGACTCCTTCACATCTAATTTGGGGACCCCTAATAACAGAGTCCAGCATAAAAGTCTCTAAGCTAGATAAGACTGGATTGGGGTAGGGTGGGGGATCTGTTCCCTCTTTTTATAATCTTTCCAAATAAAACACTTACTGTTAATCTAGCCCTTCTCACATTATCTTTAGTAAGCCAAACAGGAAGAACACTTTTATGTGTTTCTCTGGCCAATACTTCCTGCTCTATACTTGAAACTTAAAAATACTCCTTTTTTGGAAAAAACAACAACAACAGTAAAAAACAAAAACAAAACAGGAAAAAAAACCAACAACAGAACCTTAATTCATTCCTAATTTAGCAAGTGGCTTACGATGGTATCCCTGAGTAAACCATGAAAATGATTTAAATAATCAAAATATGAACCAAGAAGTGGCCTAGCAATGGAACATGGTGCTTCGAAAATGAACATTTGCCGAAACAGGCTGGAGGTCCTCCTCCAGCCCACCCATGGTCTGTTAAACTCAGTGGTTCTGAGGTCCTCAGGGAACAATAACATCCAGCCTTATTGATATGTATTCACTTATATGACCAGATCAGTAAAAATACAGGTAGAAGGTAGTGCTTTGATCTTATTGATATTTTACCATCTATGTGAGGAACGAATGTGAATAGGATGGTAAGTTTCATGTTTAAGTCAACATTTCATATCAATCTGCAAGATTTAAGATTCCCACCCAGGTGTTTCTTCATTTTGCTCAAATCTAGTCCCCAAAAATTGCCAAAAGCAGAACTACGATACAGAAGAAGATGCAACATTTTAAACAGAATGAGCTTGAATGTCATATCGCAAGTACTCAAAGTGAGGGTTGTAGGAGAGCACTTTATCACCCTTTAGATAATTATACTACAAGAAAATGAGGGCTCAATTATGAGTTACTGTCTTAAAAGCATGGTAGGGAGAGTGGGAGGGAGGTTAAAAACAGTGAAGGCTTGACAGTGACTAATGTTCCTGGCAGCTCAGTGTCTGTATTTCAAACTTAAGGTGGGAAGGGAGAGAAAAAAATAATTATTCTGGCTATAATTCCCTTCAATAATTGAACAGGTCTGAATGCCGGCAGTCCGAAGGAGAAACGCTGGACATGGCACTGCAGAGACCACTGTCCTGAGGAGCTGACTACCTCACTGAGGAGAGCACAGGACACCAAGGACGAGACATGTGTGATAAAAGAAGCACCAAGTTCTACGGGAAGAGAGGGAGGCACAGAAGGATTTCTAAAAGGAGAGATTGTCCCTTGTTGTGGGAAAATCAGACAAGGTTTGGAAGGAAGAGGTATTTCAGACAGACAGGAGGTGGGGAGGCAGGGCCTGGAAGCGACGCTCAGGCGACTGTGCAGCCTCAGGGTGGGGCGGTGCTTGCCGCACAGAAAGCCACTACATTAAAGATTGTTCCTTCTTGATTCTACGAGGTGTGTGCACAAGTATTCATTATACTGCTCTTTCAAATGTTATGTTTGAAAACTTCATGAAGAAAGAACAGCCTGCTCAACCACAGGCTCGGCCATCAAGCCACCCTGCCTGCCAGCGGCATCTATGCCATCTACTAACTGGATGCACCCGCGGGCAGGACAATCACACTGAACCTTAGTACTTCACGCCTAACATAAGACAAGGGGCTGTCACTTAGGCTTCATTGGATGACCTAGGTATCTTCCTCTGCCTAGCCCTCCACCAGAAACCACCTTCCTCCCCCAGCAACGCTCACCTGGGACATAATTGATTCCACAGTCGATGACGATTGCCCCAGGTTTGATCCACTCCCCTTTCACCATTTCAGGCTGACCAGTTGCAACCACCACAATGTCACCTTTATTTACCTAAGGAAAGAGGGCTCTGACTTCAGAAATTAAACAATGAAACATAAAAAAATCTAGAAGTGGAAAGGACGCCCCCAAGCTTTGTATGAAATTCTTCACTGTCATCAGCTGTTTTCTGCAGGCCACACACTGTCTCTGACAGCTCTGTAGATGCTGTGCTCATTGCTACACATGCCAGAAAGCTCCCCTTTCATAAGGCATTTTACCGAATGGGGACCTTGGTGAGAACTCGCGGAGTAGGGAGAAGCACGGGCTTGGAGCAAGAGGCCTGGGATGATGTCCCTGAATTACGAAACATCCAGGGGCTGCTGCCTCTCCCATGGAATGTGGGGACTACCACCTTCCACAGAGCACTGCTTGGGGACAATTCAAAGGGAAGGTGCTGGGCCTCTCTCCGGCTTTCTCACAACGTTTAAGAGACTGTGCTGTCAACAGCAAAGTGTGAGAATTCTTGGGCTGAGGAATCTGAAGCACAAGACCAGCCTGCGACAGATGTCACAGCACTGCTGTCCACATCCCCCTCTGGAGCACCTTGACCCCTGAAGCCACCACTTACGCATTTGGGACCTGGCTGCCAGGTGTCTCTATAACTGCTCATCTCTACCACAAGGTGGAATGGTGTAGAAAGAATATAGTCAGAACAAAATCTGTATAAACTTGGGCAATTTTTTAATTTGAATTTGCTTCTTCATTTGTAAAGTGAGACAAAAATCAGAGACTTGTTATAGTGGTTATGAGGTACAGTACATGGCAGTTTCTGGCACTTAAATGTTAGGTATTCCCAAGGTGTGAGAACGCCCCACCACACATGTGCATGCATGCATACACACGTGTGCGTACACACACAGAGAATGTCTTCCACTCCACTCTGGGTCCCTTACCTCTTTGTCTAGATGGGCAGTCTTGGAGTGGCAGGTGGTCACGGTGGCATGGTTCCACAGAAGCAAGTCATGCATGGGGGCCCCGACTATTTTGCTGCGCCCGACCACCACTGCATGCCTTCCGGCTATCTGCACTCCTGAAAGAAAAGCCGGCGCGCATCAGAGAACTGGGGAAGCTGCCTTCCTTTGCATGCCACCTAAATGGGATATTCAGAACCAGGGCTCAGAAACAGGTTCTTGGCATCAAAAAGAAATCTTCCTAAAAACACTCCTCCTTTGGAAATAATATTTTCAGCTCTGGGGCTTCAGCTACAAATTGGTACTTGGCCATGGGTCCTTCTTGCTGTGGGTTTTAGAGAGCAGCTTAAGCCAAGATCCATTCATTGAGTCACAGGAGAGTGGGAAGAAAACCTACACTCAAGAAGAAAAAGAAGCCTGACACACAGCTTTATGGAAGAAGACATCAGATTCAATTATATGGGGAAAACAGTTATAACAAATGGGGGGCACGTAATGGGGTGGAGGGAAGAGACGGAAATCAGATGAGTATTGGTAATTCTTTCCAACTTCGGTAAGTTCATTTATGCAGTTCTGCATCCAAATTTCTCCTTTGGCTTAGGGCCTGAGCCATAGGGTTATTTGCTGGGAGGTGATAACAGGGAATCTGAACCACAGCAGAAGGCTTTCTTTCTGTCTACTCAGCGTCTATTCTTCTGGCGCTAGTCCAATGTTCTTGTCATGCCTGAGATACTCTACTTAATAGAAATGGTCTGGGTGAGCACCCAATAGTGGAAAAATGACCCTATTTCATTCCCTGGCCAATGAGATCCAATCCCATGACTGTTAGACACAAGGATGGAACAAGGCTGGAGTTGCTTGGGACCACCGAGTGGAGCGTGACAATGAGCTAGAAGAAAGCAGAAATCAAGTCTTGAGGACTCCACCGGAGCCCCTGTACCTAGCCACGACTGAAGTGGACTTCTCCTTAAGGCAGTCTGTGTTTAAGTTGTGCTTCTTGCATAACATTAATTTTATCCTAAAAAGATAAGCTTCTACATAATGCTAACATCATGAACATCCAGTGTACAGCCCTCAAAGTCTGAAGTGTTTAAAAGGCACCTTACTATACTTTCTAGGGTCCAGCAAAGGACTTGAAGCTGCATTAGGGCAAATGGCAGCTTTACTATCAGTTAAGAGGAAGTGGGAAGCCTGTAGCTGCTGTGACTCATAGGATTTATTTTTATCAAGTTATAACACACTGTTTGCTAACTATGTGGTAGAATATGAACTTAGTTGTGGGACTGAACAGTACTAGCTGTCCCAAGGCTTATAGACTGACCTTTTCTTGACAACCACAGAAAATTTTCTTTTACATTAGCCAACTTTCCACTTGAAACTTCTGATCTACTTTCTTTCTTTTTTTTTTTTTAAAAGATTTTTATTGGGGAATTTGGGGAAGGGGAACAGACAAGTTGCTGTCTTTTTGTTTTTGTTCTTCAAACTAGTTGTGGAGGACGTTGCTTCATTGGCCAAGTGGGCACCATCATTGCGCTCTTCCCGGGTGAGGCAGATCAGTCGCCGGCTTCTGGACGGCCGCTCACGCTGGCTGCTGGCTACACACGGTAGCCCATGGC